TGAAACTTTTCTTGGTTGCAGGTGAATTCACTGAGCTGCACTATTGAGCTTCAGCTGCCAATAGAAGGACAATGGCAAGCCACAGGCCAGGTGAGTGATAGCAAACACACAGGAACTCACACAGGAACTGAGCCTCACTTACCCTCTTGTAGCTTGTGTTTCACATCTGATGTTGCCTTCACAGGGAACTATCTCCTGGTGTGATAATGGCAAGGACCAGGGACTTGTTTAACAGGTTTTGTTCATCTCTGTGACAATCCTTTCTTAGATTCAAAGCACCAGCTGTCTTGCATTTTGAATGCTGAGTGATCGTTCTCTAGAACTGGCAATGTCTACAAATTCAAAGTCCAGAGAACGTTAAATACAACTGTCTTGTCTATAAGGAGATACAGACAAATTTTGACTTCTTAGGCCGTGTGTAGATGAAACCGCTTTAATGGTGTCGGTGTTTGCACGCATTGGTGGCGTATTGCGCAGTAACTCCAGCTGCTGTAGCAAATTCAGCGGTGTAATGTGCCTTAAATGGCTTGGGGCGCAGCAAACTAAAACTCCTCTGAGGAGTTTGTTTGCTTCCCTACATCCACGGAGGGAAGCACTGGGCTTTGTGCAGCTCAGGGGCTCTGCAGGAAGCCCGTACAGGCAGCCTGGCAGCAGCCTGGGAAGGCAGGCTCCGCCCAAGAAAAAAAATCTTTTTTATTTCCTTGAGCCTGCCTGCTGGCCTGAGCTGTGCAGGGGCCTGGTGCTTCCCTCTGTGTCTGCAGTGCCCCCTGGGACTGCCTGAGCCAGGTGCCTGTGAACGAGTACCACCTGGGGGGTGGGGATGCTGCTGCTGTGGGGGGAAGCACCAGCCCCCCCGCAGCCCAGGGACCACTCTGCCCACCAGCAGCTTGCTGTCCCCTCCATGCTGCTGGAGAGGCAGGTAAGTGGGTGTGTGCATGACACAGGGGTTTAAAGGGCCCTAAATTGAAATGGTGTGTTTAAAAACCCACCACTTCAATTTAGGGCACCCGTTTCATCTACACACGCCCTTACAAGGTACTTGGCCCCTAGCTTTACAGTGGATCAAAACAATATCAAGGATTTCAATGACTCTAACTTTGGGAAAATCTGAATCTACATCTGACCTTTGTTGCTCAAGCTTCTGTAATGTTGCATTTGTATGAGGGTAGTGCCTAGAGGACCTGCGGCTGAGAGTAGAAACCATTAGGGCTGGATGCGGCATGCACTCATACTAAGAGTAGAAATAAAATAAAGTTACAATGAGAAAAAAATGGCAGGAATTTATCCTGTGTTAACTGATCTGCAGTCATTTTGGGCACTGACAGATGTGCAGCTCCTTGTTCTAACTCATGGTGCTTCACAGAAAATGCCATAAGTTAGACAGAGTCTTCTGACCCAACAGAAGTTCACTGTTGGACTAGGAGGGTGGGTGACCAAGCTTCATTTTGGAGTCGATCTAGTGAGAGAGGCTGTATGTCTACAGCCTCTCTCCCCTAGCCCTGCCCCCACCTCAGGTGGCTTCAGTACACCCTCCAGCGCCATCTGAGCAAACTCCAGACTGAGCTCTCTTGCTCCATTTCCCCCCTCTCATTTTGAAGACAGCACTGGGGATGGGGTCGTGCTGCTTCAACCCAGCCTTGCTCCCAGTGTGCATTAACAGACATTAATGAAGGCACTCTGCTTTGGAGCTCCTTCATCTAAACCTGAGGGGTCATTTGTTGTGTGATTGGGCACTTTTTAAAGTGCTCTGCTGCTGTGCACTTCTGTCAATGCACAGTTGTAGAGCACTTTCAGTGGCCGATCGCACGACAGAATGTCATCTGCCAGCGCTTGGTGTCCGCTCTTATCCTAGAGCAGGGGTGGCCAACCTGTAGCTCCGGAGCCACATGCGGCTCTTCAGAAGTTAATATGCGTCTCCTTGAATCTTTGCACAAGCACACAGTGACCAGCTTTCATAGCTGTTATGTCACATCGTGTGCTTGTGCAAAGATTCAAGGAGACGCATATTAACTTCTGAAGAGCCGCATGTGGCTCCGGAGCTGCAGGTTGGCCACCCCTGTCCTACAGTAAGTAGAAGTTAAAGCAGGGCACTTTACCTCCTAAAAAAATGGAACTAAACTTCTGCTGTGTAGCTTTCATTTGCTGCTGGGTCGAAGCAAGCACACAAATGGTTACTGCAGAGCAGCTGACATGGGGTAGAAGTATGGAGAAACTAAAAGTATTGAGAAACTATATAATACCAAAGGCTGTTGCTTCTTTTCCTTCTTTTCCCTGCAGCCTCTGCATGGAGGGAGGGGGAGAGGCAGAGGGGTGGCAGTGGTACAATCCCACCCCCCTTTGATTCCTGCTCCACCCAGAGTTTAAAATAAACTGTCCAACAATTGCAATGGCATTTCTATTCAGGCAGCACTGAGGAAGTCAATTGATTTCATGGCTCTTTATAATCTACCTGATTTTTGGTGATGACTCTTCACTCCACAGATGGTAAAAAAAACCAAAACGACAAACCTCTCTCCTTTTTACTGGTCTTGATGGTCCACTAATGAAGCTATTCTTTCTTCAGCAATTTTTTTGCCTGTTTGTTGTCCTGGAATCTCTTTTCCTATTCCACAGCCCTGCAGAGTGTTTTAGCTCTTTTCAAAATCCACGCGTTACCTATTTACCTATAGAGTTCAGTCTTCAGTAGCAGCTACAGCTTCAGTTTTTGACTGGGCAGCCAAGACCTGTTTACAATTCAGCTGTGAAAGAGTTAAAAACTGCAGCTTTGTCTGAGCCAAAAAAGGAGGGTGAATGAGCTGAAGATTAGGCTCTGTCCTTATACAACCATAACTGGAAAAATCTTTTTTTTTTTCTTCATTCTGCCTTTCCCCCAAAAAGGTGCATGTCTTATTTGGGGCATTGTATGGTGCACAAGAAAACATGGGCATTTGGTTCATAAATCGTATTGATTTGTACTGTGGCTAATTCATCACAGTGTAATTAGTCATTTCCAAATGTATACACATACTAAATCACAGTGGAGTTTGCTCCCGAAAATGTAGTCTACTGAAAAGGTACGGACTTATACCCTCCATACCATCTCTCAAGCTAGCTGATGCTCATAAAACATTGGATACTCCTCGGCTTTTCTTGGCTCAACAAGACATAGATAATCAGCCACTCTATTTTGCAGAATTATCTTTGCTTTTGGGAGTGCAGAGCAGAAATCTTTGACTGATTATTTTATTCCTTCATAGTCATATAACTTTATGTAGTGAGTACTCTGAATTTTTGTAGTAAGATTTGTATGTTAAGTATGTATTGGTGTAATCATACAATTCTCAGGCAAGTTAGGGGGCATACAGTTTGCACTCAACATTTTTGTAATATGTATATTTTTCTTCATTATAAATATCAAAAAACTTTTTACTGTGTTTTGATATGGCTTGCAAAATACAGCTCACAACAAAATGAAAATGGCTTACTACTGATTATTAGTCCCTCATGATAATTAGTCACCATTAACCAATGCCCTTGGAGGGTAAATTAACCAATTTTACTATATTTATAAATAAATAGTTGAATTTAGATTCTTACTATTTTTGTTCTTTTCCTCTAGTGAAATCTGTTAAGAAATCTTCCGTCCCTGGGGTGACCATCCAACAATTTGTTGATAATATTCCAACAGGATGTTGTACTCCTGACTTTGAGCGAAAACCCATCACTCTGACATTACAGGAAGGTGAGACTCGTTTAAGAAATAGATAATTTCACAATGCTGGATTCTTGATCCCAGGTCTTGACGACATGAGAAAGTGTCATTAATTTAACTAAATCTATTTAAATATAGATTTAGTTGTATCGGTAGACATTCCTCATGTAGCTAGCAAAGGCATAATTTGCATTGGTGCAAATCAAGAGTAAGCCTAATGATGGTGTCACCCAGGTTTTATACCACTGTAGTGGGAATTTGGCTCGTACTGTAGAAACAGAATCATGTGGACTCTGCAGCAGGTGGTTAGGGTAAAATATTTTGCACACAGAAGATTCAACAACTTGAGATGGTTTGCTTTCATTGATTTACTTGTATGTTGAGCTAAAGTATTTTTTAAAACCCCCTAAGTATTCAGATTAAACCTTCATTAAAGCAGGGGTGATGGAAAGCATTGATGCCTTCTTTTTGGACCAGGGCTGAATCTGGGGAGAGGGGCGCAGGCTTTACCCCCTCTTTGATTCCTGTCCCATCCAAAGTTCAAAACTAACTGCCTGACAATGGCAGCAGCATTTTTATTCAGGTAGCAGTGAGGGAGTCGCTTGATTTTATGGCTCATTATATAATCTACCAGATTGGGCCCCTGGCCCACTCATTAAGCTATCCTTTCTTCTGCAATTCTGCTGTCCTGTTAGCTGCTCCTCTTAACGTTGCTCCTATTTCACAGCCTTACAGATTGTTTTCAACTCTAGATGAAATCATTAATTCAGATGTGAAACCATTAACTCAGGGGAACATCAAAGCAGATGTGGAGACAACTTGCAGTAAAACTTTGGATGCACTGTCAAAATGCTCAAGGAGGCTATTTTATGAATCTGAAAGAGATGAACATTTTAAGTCTAATGGCAGCTGAACTAAAGAAACAACATTTTTTGATTATTTTTCCTAGTTTGTTGGTTTTTTGGTACCCAATGGATGATATAGCTAACTAGTTTGCATTCTAATAAAGTGCATTTGGTTTTGCTTTGATCTTAAGATGAATAATATGGCCCTAGTCCCTTGCATATTAGTAAAGCTTCTAGCTTTTTTCACTTGGATAGAAATGTGTGTTGTGTTATACATGATGATGCACCACACCATCTGCACCCCCTTTCAAAATCTTAGATCTGCTTATATTCAGGGCTATGCTAAGCCTTGTCAGTGAATGAGGGCAAGTCAGATGAAGAGTGGTGCGAACCATGGCACTGTGCTTGAGAACTGCTGATGTAATATATATAATAAGCTTTATATAATACCTAAATATTACATATACATTTTATAATAAATTTGTTATCTATCATTTTATAATACATTTTCAAGAAAAAGCACAACTATACTCCTTTAAAAATCCTAGCCATTACTAACACGGAAACCATTTAGGTTGGACTTGAACTGAAAACCTAGATTATCTCCATTCTGCACCACAAATGTTGGGATGGAAGAAACCCAGATATGAATGCATTTTCTTCCTAGATGGATGTGAAATAAAACATAGGCAAGAGACCTTATTCATTAGTGACTGAATTCAAGAGTTACCTTTCAAGTCAGTTCTTTTGAAAACCAGTCAGGTCACCTATTGCTTCTTCCTCTTTTACTTCACCTCCTGCCTCCTTCCCTAACTCATTTCTTGCCTCTCTTCAAAGGTAAAAATGCCATTTTCAGGGCTGTGGTCAAGGGTGTACCTGTACCTGAGGTGGTATGGAAACGGAACAAAGGAGAAATGGATAATCCTGACAAATACCAAACATCCTTCAATGCCGTTACAAATGAGTTCATTCTGCAGGTAAAGGTCAACTGTTGCAGAAAACTAAGCCCAGCTTAAGAGACAGGTGAGGAGAAGGGAGCAACCAGGCTAGAGAAGCTGTGGGTCAGGGCATTGACAGTCAGACAGTCGCTTGGGGTACCCATAACTGGAGTGGTGCAGCTCAAGATGGAAGAGCATCAGCAGATCTGTGTAAGGACCCCAGAAATATAAAAGGAAAAAACTATGGGGTATTAAAGGAGCTATTTGGGGGTCAAATTGTAGGTATCCCATTCTAAGCTTTGCAAGCATCATTGTCCCTGGGAACACAGTTGTTTCGGTGGGTCATAAGCTGTGGTGATATGGAGCAATTCTAAAGCAAGGAAAAGTTTAAGGGTTGGGAGCAAAAAGAAGATTAGGGTGTTACTTTAAAGTTACTTCACGAGAGATGAGAGACTCCATTTTCATCACTTCAAGTTGCTGCCACCTTTTTCTGTCTTCCCCTTTATCAGATAAATAAACTCACAGTAGCAGATGCTGATTTGTACCGCTGCTCTGTTGTGAATGAATACGGGGAAGCCTTCTGTGTCGTTGGCCTCAGGATCATACAAGGTAGGATTGGAGGGTCCTGTGTGAAAACCAAGTGGCTCTTTCATGCCTTTTGGGGGGTAGTTCCTTAAAACATTGCACAGGTATATAATACCAAACGCTTTTAACCACTATGGTGACTGTTACCCAATATCTTTTCTTTTCTTTTTTTTTTAAAACATCTCTCTCTGCTTTCTCTCTTCTCCCAACTCATCAGCTGGTTTTAAGAAAAAAACGAGACAGGTCCCCACTGAGACTCAGAAGGGTAAGTATGGAAGTTACTGCTTGTATTATTTTTTTCTGAATCACATAAGCACCTCAGTCTACCTTCTAAATAGTATCCTTTTTGGTTGCAAGGAATCAAACCCTGTTAGAGGGTATAATGTATGGAGTTATGCTTGCTGTCCCCAGGTTGCAGAGCAGAATGGAAGGTATTTGGTTGTCCCATGCTTCTGGGCTTTGCTGGTTGCCACGTAGGGCCAGGAAGGAATTTTATTCCTCTCTTGTTGCTACAGGTATAAGAGGTTTTTTTCACCTTCCTTGGAAGCACTGGGTGTTGGCTGAAGCCAAGGCTGGGGTGTACCAATGCTTCTGCTGGGACTAAAACCTGGAGGGTCCTTGTTAGAAGGTCTTGGTCCCCTGCTCAGGGTCAGACCGATCACCACGTTTGGGATGAGAGAGGATTTTTACCTCATGGCCAGGGGATAGCCCTCTTTTTTGGATCTCCTGAGTGCATTTTAATAACCTTTGCAGTGGTAGGACACTGACAGCTGTTGTCGCCCTGCTTTACCTGTAGCAGGTTAAGGTGCTCTTGCTGTTTTGGGGCAGTATGCCTTGTAGATGTGTGACAAGGTTGATTGTATAGTTTTAGAAATAGGTCAGACAAGGGTTTGTATTAGATGTTTTGGATAAGGATTATTGAGCAAGAGGTTGGACTAGATGACCTCCTGAGGTCCCTTCCAGCCCTTCTTTTCTATGTTTCTCTGGTTTGATGAAAGCTTGCAAGGGAAGAATAACATTGAGGCAAGAACCAAGTGATAGACTTTTGCTTACTTTAATCCTTCTACCTACTTGCTGTGCACCTGTGGGTACACGATATTTTGTTTTGAAGAAGCTGTTTTTTAAATGCTTTAATCAGTTGTTGGCTACAGGCCCCAGAAGAAGAGGATTTATATGTGCAAAACACATTTGGGCCTGTTGTGTTTAAATGGCTGGAAAACAGTGGAACTGCCACTCAGAAATCCAGTCCTCAAGTGAGGGACAGTGAGATTTCACCCTTGAAAGAGAGAAAGGATAATCAAACCTGTCCTCTGCAGGATGTTCTTTAAAGGCGCTAAAAGAAATCTAAAGTTCACCTTAACCCTAACTGTAAGTTTTTAGCCAGTTTTTCAAAACTGCCATAAGTTGTCTGAGGTCGGACACGTCAAAATTGAGGCATTCCACTCGGTGTGTATTTTGTATGATGCTTGCCTTAGTTTTTTTCTAAATGTTTTTTTTTCTTTTGGCTCTAGGTTATGCTGTGTTGAGTGACTCCATTTTCTTAATCTGACATTTATTTTTCTAGTAGACCTGAAGAAAGAGATACAGGACTTCAGGAAACTATTAAGGAAGCGGTGAGTGTTTCCAGGGCAGGATAGTGGCTGTCTCGGACGGCCAGAGCCGACTCAAGGTGATTTAGAAATTGCTCGTTCGTTAGGGCGGGCTGGTGAATGGAGAGGCAGACAAGGTTTAATGGTTGCAAAAACTTTTACTTACGCCGCTTGTAGTTGCGACGCAGATGGTCCGGTCGTCTGAACAACTATGTGAGTTGTTCCAGCTGGCGAGGCCCAAGCCAGTTAATTCGTCCGCAATTTAAGCCGGCGGGAAAAGGGTACGTCTGGGATTGCGCTCGGCGACGGGAAGAAGGATCGATAGGTGATCAGTCTATCGATCAGCTAGCCGCAAGTCAGATCTCTTTAGAGGCACTCTGCAGCGTGCTCAGAGTTCTTCGACTTGGGCGGAAGTCGCACGAAATTTTAAATGGCTAGCTAGCCAATTACTAGCCACCACGTAGGAATAATTTAGAACTAGCCAATAGCGAGACACAAATTTGCATTCGAATAGCGGGAACTCTTTGCACCGTGCATTTCTGTGCTGCAAAGAAGAAATGCACCCTGCAAATTGGCGGGAACTCTCTTGCACCGAGGTTCTTCTGTGCAGCAAAAACCCTCGCTGTGCAAGAGGCTCCCATGTGGCAAGAAAATTCCATCGTGCTGAGGCACCAAAATCACTGGGTTGTGACAGTGGCAAGACACCTGCTTCCCGTGTATGGCAGGGATGACTGCTTATCCTTCACAGAACAACTAGTCAACCCTTCCTGTTTCCATTTGTTTGGAGTCACCATATATAAGGATTGATCAGAGTGCTCTGTTAGAGGGAATTAGGGATATGGTGCCAATTTACTCTGGCAGGAGGTGCTGCCAAATCACTTATGTTACCTTGTATTGCAATATTCTGCCTTGAGGGATCTGTCTTTCTCAGGGTGAACTTTTTAGAGAATTGGCTGAAAATGGGTAGAAAGGTGTTGTGTGTTCTTCAACAACAACCTCTCTGACCAGCTAAGGAGCACTAGGCATTTTTACACGTGCTCTAGGAGGTGGCGTTGGGCACTTTAATTAGTGAGCTGCGCTGATTAAAAGCACCCGCATGCCATGTGTATCAGCATCCCCACGCGTCTCTGTGCTGAAAAAATGGCAGTGGGGTGCCTTGAACTAAAGTTCATCGAACATATTTTATTTCAAAGTGTCCCGCTGCCATTTTTTCAGCGCAGGGATGCCCGGGGCCACTGATACACGTGACGTTGAAGGCTGCTGGAGCGTGTCAATTTTCGTGTTCCAGCGGGCTTGATTAATCAAGTCTGCTCTGACGTGCTGGATTTCCAGCGAGTCAGAGCAGGCTCCCCGCACGTCTATAGGAACCCAGTGTGTCCCAAAAAAGTCACAGTCAGCTTCATCCGAATTTAGTATGGCCTGCAGAAAGGATAGGGCAAGAAAAGTGACAGAAGGGTAAATGAAGGGAAACAAGAACTTCCTGCTCACTATCTAAACTCCTATTGTCTCCTCTTCTGACTGTTTTTTAGAGTCCCACACGCTCCTCGGAAGAAGGACATTGACATGGAGCAGGTCTGGCAATTGTTGCTGCATGCAGATAAGAAGGATTATGAGAAAATTTGTTTAAGGTATGGAATTGTTGACTTCCGTGGAATGCTAAGGAAACTTCAGCAGATGAAGAAGGACAAAGAGGACAAACAAGCCAAGGTAAGGCCAAGCTTGAGAAACCATTACTGTTCAGTGAGACTTAGAATGCTAAATACAAATGAATCTTTTAGGCAACTAAACAGGACGTAGGCAGAATTTAAGCACCTAAAGTACAAAAAATGATCCATATTGATCCCAGTCCAGGAACTGGAGAACTGCCCATTTGCCTGAAAAAATCCCCAAGTGTATCGACTTGGGTGGCATGCTCAGAAGCAATCAAGAACGGTCACCAAGGCATCTCACTTGTGCTTAATCTCTGTTGCTTCCATATTGGCATGGGAGATGCAAGAACCTTGTCTAAGTCTCTGCCTCCTTTGGCAGGGATTCTGTTCCTTCCTGGTTGTCTAAGTGGCCATTTTGCTTTGGTTTTCTACATGGTATTTTTGGCACTTATGTTCAGGTAGGAATGCTACTGCTGGACACAGAAGCCTGTACGTGTAGATGACTATGTGCACATGTATCTAGGCATGCTTACCAACAGTAAGGTTATGGTGGTGGAAATTCCCATGTTTTAATCCCAATAACTGAGTAGATAAGACATTTGCCTGGGAAGCTGGAGACTTGTGCTTTCGACCTCAGTCACCCAACAGGGCGTCTGAATGTTGGTCTCTGAGGGTGCCTGTAGACATGCTGGGAGGTTGTTCTGACATACTGTAATTACAGTGAGCTAGAGCTAATTAGCACGCTCCAGCCAGCCTCCAAGTGTCAGTGTCCCCTTGCTTCAAAATGGTGGTGGGGGTGCTTTAACTAAAGCTCATTTGACAAGTTTTAGTTAAAGTGCCCCCAACGCTATTTTGAAGCATGGGGACACTGATACATGAGACACTGCGGCACTTTAATTAGCGTAGTTCTTGGAGCTGCTCTAATTAAAGCACTCCCCCACCCCCGGGGCACGTGTGAAAATACCTGACTTTCCAGCACAGCGCTTTAACCACCACTACATGGTCAGGAGTTATCCAAACCCATCTCACCTTTTTTTGAAATTGCCATCCTGGTCAGCCAGGAAAGGGAGGTATGTGGGAAATACTGGGTCCAGAGGGAAGAGAGCAAGCCAGAGCGTATGTGGCTCAGTGCTGCGACTGCCCAGTTGGAAGGGTGGAGGCCCTGGTTCTAGCCTGGAGACTTGCTCCTCGTGAGGCAGATACTCCCCTCTACACTGCTGTCCTCTAGTAAATGCAAGGGACAGAGGCTCAGCTACAAAAGGCTTTGGATAGGATCTGGTCTGATCTGTGATGTGGGAGTTAGGACACTTTGCTAGGAAGTGCGAGGGACCCAATTCAACCCCCTCTGGCTGGGGGTGGTCTGGAGATTTCCAGATTCTGAACCAATGTCCTAACCATTTGGGGTTAAAACATGGGAGGGTGGTGGTCCTCCACCTCCTGAGTCTGACATCTGCCTGTCAGGTATTTCAGACTGACTAGGTTTTCAGGTCTTAGACACCACTATGAATTTAAAAGAAGCACATGCATGTAACTGGGTATGTATACAGCCAGTGCCCAGTTCATAGCCTACCATGCATGCTCAGTTTATGCAGTCATCTACATGTGCAGGCTTATGTGTCTAGGACTACAATTCTTACCTGCACACAAGTGCCAAAACTGCCATATGGATGACTAAAAACGTCTGCTTAGACAACCTGAAAGGAATAGAAGTCCACCCATGGTGACACACTAATAGCATGCATGTAGTTGCACAGCTACTAGAGAAGGAGGAATCCACTTCTTGTCCACTAACCTACTGGTTAGAGCACTTGCCCAGGATGTGAGAGACCTGGCTTCTAGGCCTTTCCTAACCTGAAGGGGTTCAAACATATATCTTCCACCTCATAGGAGAGTGCCCTAACTACTAGGCCAGGTGAAGTCATCCTCTTTTCTGTTCAAGCTAGGCAACTGTAGTGCCAAGAGTGCAAAATTTAAAGGGCCAAAAGGAGAACAAGCGAGTGCATCTTTTGTGACCAGCAATGAGGACACGCTTCTGGGAGGGTTTTTAGTACTTGCTGGGAACTTGGATGCCTAATCTGTCAATTTGGATTGTTCTCCTAGGGCAAGATGCTGAGCATTTAGGTACTGCGGTACCTAAGGGGAGGCATCTTCGAGATCAGTTTGGATCTGGCCCTAGGTCACTTTTGAAAATGGGATCTAAGGTCCTTGGTATTTCTGAACACTTTACCCTGGGATCAAAAAAACAGAGAAGGCTCAACTCCAGTCTAATATGGCTGTAATTCTTGTTGTTTACACTTACTTCTTTTGAATATATTGGTAGAACTGGGCCTAAGGATCCCATTTTTTAAACCTTGGAGCTGTATTCTGTATTTGGATGGTTACAATGAGTACTTGATCACTGAAGTGCTGATTTCAACATTCAAATATAGAATTTAGGTTTTCTAACATGGACAGATATGTTAGAAAATTGGACCAGTAATGACTGTTTAGTGTATGAAAGACCCAGAGGGATGGCAAATACAATCCACTTTTCTACCAGAGCAGAACAACTGAGAATTAGTGCTGTTCCTTTTTTCTACACTGATGAAATAGTGAACAAATCTACACCAGGTTGATGGGAGCTCTATCAAAGCCAGCCCCATCACGTACCATGTGCTTGTATCTGTTCTTCGCAGTATATCAACAGTATCAGAAACCTGAGACACATCAAGGTCAACAAGGAGGGAAATGCTATGTTTGATCTAGAGATGGACCTGAAAGATCCCCAAAGCAGAATTTACTTATACAAGGTAAGGTAGAGATGGACAGGCTTGATCAAGCCAAGGAGAGAATATAAGGATCACTTAGATATGTGATATTTTTGTTTTACTAGGCAGCGATCAAGAGGAGACAAGTATTGCCTTAGAAAGTGCCCTTCTGTTAGCCCTGCTGCTGCATTAAGGAGCAAAACTGATATGGGACTTTCATCCAACCCTCTTTGGGGGTTCAAATAAAGTGGAAATGTTTAGGTTCTTTAGCATTTTGCTTGAAAATGTCTTGTTTCTTCAGGCAAGAAGCAAGCCATGATTGCTGTTTGGAGACTCAAATAAAAAAGTCAGACTAGTCTGATTTATTTCAATGGTTATTATATCCCTGTCTAGCTTATCTTCCTTTGAAAACATTTCTCAAAATGTGCCTAATTACAGAGCTTCACAAGCCATGGTCCATAGATTACTGGTGAGCCACAGAGAATATGCTGGTCATCTGTGGAGATCTGAGCAGTCACATAGTGCTGAAGGCTTCCTCGCTGCTGCTGCTACACACTGCATTGAGGAACACGTAACACCATAGTCAATATTTTCCTAATATGTCTTTCATACCTAAGCAGTTTCTCTAGCTGCTTTATTGATATAGTGCAAATCCACTACCAGTATGACACTGTAACAAAAGTGCTAATATGATCCTTGGATATATAAACCAGGAAATAGTGAGTAGGAGTACAGAAGTATGTGTATCTCTATCTATAGCACATTTTTTTTAACAGTAAGGGTGACTGAACTTTGGAACAAATGCACAAGAGAAAGGTGAAATTCCATCTCTTGAAGTCTTGAGATCAAGGCTGGGTACCTTCCTGGAATATATACTTAAATAAAAGAAAAGATGTTTGGCTCAAGACTAGAGTGCTTGGGGAAAATGTTCTTGTCACCTAAATTCTCATTATGTAGAAGCTCAGAGTAGATTGTCTGATGGTTTCTTCTAGCCTTAACATTTATGAATCTGTGAATCAAGTTGGTGGGGACAATGATTTGTGTAGCCCCAAACTGGAGGAAGCACACTGTATATGACACACATAGAAGGATGGTCAGCCTACAAGCAATTCCATGCTTGAACAGGTGGTCCATACTATGAGAAGATCTGTGCAATGGGAGCAGTTTGCATATTAAAAGTTACAAAGAAACTAATTAATCAAGCCTCAAAGTCCTCTGGGAGTTGGGCAGATACAATTATTTTTTTCATTCAAGAGGGAGAGTCTTTATAAGACTCATTGTGAAATCAGTTGTGCCCACTGTCTGTAGCCATGCCTGCTGTAACATCAGAGTTCTGCCAAGCATGTATTTGACCTAACATGTTTGAAGTGACTTGGACATCTGGAGTTTTCATATGTTAGAGACTGAGCTGTGCACATTAGCATGTTGTATTTAAGAATTCAGAGTGGGCGCAGGCTGATGATTGCATTGCTCTAGCCCAGCAGATTGAATCTTTTCTTCCCGTAGGATGGTGAGATGATCAATTATGGATTCAATGATGACAACATGAAACACTGCCTGAAACAGGTAGGGAAAACTTACAGTTTCATCATCAATGACCTGAAGCCAGAAGATGCGGGTTTGTACCAGCTGAAAGTAGAAGATGTAGATGTCTTCTCAACTGAGCTGGAAGTTGACAGTAAGGACCTGAGCTTTCTGAATATGCACTTTGTATGGCTGTGATAAGAACACACTTTAGGTGGGAAATCTAATATGAGATCAAATCCAAAATTCATTGGGAAAGCCCAATGGCTACTGAAGTTTTTGCTTTTGTCTGCTGAAACAAGAGCTTTTATGTTCTGACAATACATTAGGGCAAGATGAGAAAGGGTAGGAAAACTGCATGAATGGAGGGGGCACTGGACTGCATCTCAGGAGAGGTAGGTTCAAGTCTCAGCTCAATGCAGGCTCCAGTAGGATCTTATACATGTCACTTAACCTATATTGTGTCTTAGTTCCCAGCTGTAAAAACTGGCAAATAATCCCTCAGTTCAAAGGGGTGCTGTGAGGCTCCAGTCCATTAATGATTGCACTGTGTTCAGTTGGCACAGTAATAAGTAACTAGCTGGATTATAAATGCAAAAGTGTATTTTTGAATTACACAGAAATAGGCATGGATATGCCTCTTGAGATGTCCTTTCTACTTCAGCCAAAGCTCATTGATTTCAAACCTTTCTTTCTTCCATTTGGTCTTTCTTTTGTTCTGTCTGTCTATAAATAATAAGTACATTTAATTCTGGTGAAACAAGCAGCAATCCTCTCTTCCCTGCTCCTTCCTTAGCATTGGGGCCCTCGATCCACACTTGAAGAGACCATTTCTTATGCTCTCAGTTCAGTCTTTATAAGGAAACAAATGTAGTCTGAATTTGGCCTTTGGGGACAGGAGTGGCCTCCCTTTCTGTTTCTTGTGGGGAATATCAGACCACAGAGGCCTTATGGAGGGACTGGCAACTTGCAGCTGCCCCACGATGGTAATTTTCCATATTGGCCTCCAATAGGAGGGAAACACCACCATAGTGCTTCTGGATATGTTTAGTGGCACCCCTGCAGATAAAAAATAAATGCAAATGGCTTGTTGGGGGACATGTAGCCTTTTTATTGCACAGTCTCACAGAGGAGGCTTTCTGCACTCCAACAAAGCTTTTCTTCCTAGAAGACATGAGATGCCCATCTGCCTAATAGCTCTTGCTTTGCCATTACAGCAATTCCTGTCACATTTGAGCACCCGCTCAGTGAGGTGTGTTGCTCTGAGCAAGAAAATGCTGTCTTTGAGTGCAGCCTATGCAGCCCCTGTTACGATGCCATGTGGTTACACGCAAACAATCCCATTGAGAATAATGACAAGTATGAAATCTCTGTCTCCTCTGATGGCCTGAACCACAAGCTGATGATAAAAAATGTGCAGCCTGCTGACAAAGGCACTTATACTCTTGATACTGGCATCTGCTCCTCTAGTGCCTGCCTTTTGGTGGAACGTAAGTGCAAATCTATTCTTCCCTTCATTTCAGTTTCAGTATGGAAAGAGCTTTGAAGTGCAGCTGCTTGGAGTGTTTCAGTGGCAGAAAGATGCACAGTCCCCTGTTGCGTCCCACTTCCCCCATCTCAGCTGGAGCATTTCAAAATCTCTGCAGGTGCAAGAGTGGGAAGATGTGGAGCTGACTGTCAGTGAACACTCCCCTGGGTGCTCCAATTCCCTTCTCCCAGAGGCCCAGCTTGGTGGAAGAGGTGCAGAAGTGCATGGGGCCTCGTGGTTTTGAAAGGGGATGCAAAGGGTGAGCATACATGAGAGCAGTCACTGGCAGTATGCTCTGATGTCCCCTTCCCTCTTCCCTCCATGATGGGGATTTTTAGCTTCTGCATGTACATTCGATTCTGTAACTCGTGGAGAAGGTCAGGTACAGGATAGAAAGTGCCCATGGATCTCTGGTACCACTTCAAGCTTTCATGACAGGTTGGCTGATGACAAGTCCATCCTCAGCTGGTGGGCACAGATACCCACTTAAAACCAGGCCGTTTCAAGGATTTAAGACTATCTTAGTATACCCATATCAGCAAGCCTAACCATTTTTTTAGGCCTCCCTCAAAGCAGCTTATTCCACTGATACTAGACAAAGCTATCCAGCCAGAGGCCTATGGTTAGTTTATAGGGAAGGCTTCTTGTTAAATTGAACACAGCCTGAACCAGCTTTTCACTCCAGCTCCATCACACTTCTTGGCAGGAAACAGAGCCCTTAGTTTAGTATGTCCCTAGGATAACCGTCAGAGCTGCTAACAGGCTTAGAGGGCCACTGGTCTCCAATGGCTGCTGGTGACTGCTGGAAACTGGTGCTTCTCGGTTGTCCAACACTGCTCTCTCTGAGTTTGCTTTAGCTCACAGCCCTTGGCAGCTACCTGCATGCAGATGACTCTCAGCAACTTTCTTCCTGTGCTTTTTATTTCCCAAGAAGTCTCTCTCCTTAGTGGCTGTCCAGATTAGCCTGGATGAGATTCCAATATCATTCCCCAAATGAAATATGTGATGCTCAGCAAAAGGGTCTGGGAAGGGGACCAGGCATAGAAAGTTGAGAAGAACATTGAATATTGAGTGCCATAACAGATTTTAAAGGGGTTCTTTCCCTTCTCGTCAACAGCCAGCCCTTTTCTGCTAACAACCCCCACCCCATTCCATAGACCAGCACCTGCAGTGCTAGTTGGGTTAAGTCTGTTGATTCTCAGGATAAACACCTCCATACCCTAAAATAAAATATTAGTTGAAGACCTCCTTGAGGTTCTTGAACTTGTTGACCTCTAGGGTTCATTGCAAAGGTCCTCTTTTTCCAGATGATTGAGAGAACTGTTGTTGTGAAGATATGGACTTGAACAAGAAGAGAAAATTGTAATAGAAAGTCCTAAACTGCTGCACTTAGGCTTTTTTAAAAATGATGTCTAAATAAATTATTAAATCTGAAAGTGGGAATGGCCAAAAAATTATACAAACTTCTGAAATCCCAAAAAAGGAAGATTTCCTTTCATGGTATCATCCTTGAATATATTTCCCATTCCAAAGTAGTATGTGCACATATTTTTTGGTTACCAATGTATTACATTAGCTCTTTATTCATTCTTTGCTTCTTCTTTTTTCCCTGTAAATGATTTATTTTACAATCAACAAACAATACAACTACAATACAGCTGCCAGAGGAAAGAGAAGACAGGCTGAAGGAGATGAAACGGATAAAAAGGGATGGCAGATGGATATGTTATCTGATAAAGAAAGCGTTAAGAAACTTCGACAAGGAGAAGGTCCTGGGGACAAAGATCACTTTAGAGACACGGCCATAGGCAAAGATGGACTATATGGAAGTGGCCTAGATGATAACAAAGGACTGTACAGCTCCTCAATGGGCGCTGATGGAAGACGTGGATATTTGGGACAAGATGGGCTGTCTGCTGGCAGCAGAGGTGGAAAGATGGGGACAGGGCAGATTTTTACAGCAGGGATAGATGGAAACTTAATGGAAAATGCAAATGAATTTGGCAGATTTCCTGGTGATGAAGGAGGATGTATGAGACAGATTTATGGCCAGGAGTCAAAGTTAGGCGACTCTGATAGTAGTGGTGGATTAGCTGGAGAAGGGGTTAGGGCTTCTCTTTATGGGAAGGAGTCTATGCTAGGTGGAGCAGGAATAGGAGGGGCAGATTTGTTGGGTTCTTTACATGACAGGGATTCTATGGTCGGCCGAGTGGCTGGTGGTGGTGGCGGCAGGTTAGTGGGGACAGGGGAGCTGAGTTCTCTGGATGATGGAGAGTCCATGCTAGAAGGTGTTAGCGCTGCGTTAGGAGGCTCAGGAGGGTTCAGTTCTCTCCATGGCAAAGATGCTATGTTAGGAGGTGTTGGTTCTGGTGGCCATGCTGGATTTGGAGGAGCAGAGGCCCTAGGATCCCTCTTTGGTAAGGATGCTGCCTTAAGTGGAACTAGTGGTGGTGCTGGCTTAGGTGGTTCAGGGGTCACAGGTTCTTCCTATGACAGAGGTCATATGCTAGGGGCTAGTGGGACTGGTGAGGGAGTAGGAGGTGCTGGCAGCATGGGTGCTTTCTCCAGCAAAGATGCCATGTTGGGTGGAGCCAGTGTTGGTGGTGGGCCAGCAGGTGCAGGGAGAATGGGGTCTCTCTATGGTCAGGATTATATCGGACCTGGTGCAGGGGCTGGATCAGCAGGTGCTGTAGGAATGGGTACTGCTCATGGCAAGGATGCTGTGCTAGGTGGAGCTCATGCTGGTGTTACTGGTACTGGTGTATGTGGTTCAGAGTGGTCTTCTGGTATGGAAGATAGTGCCATTGTGGGTAGTGTGGGTACTGGTGGTGCAGGGAGTACTGGTGCATTTTCTGGCAAAGACTCTATGCTAAGCGGAGCCACAGCAGACGGCATTGGGGCTCTGTCTGGTAGGGCTGGTGGTGGTCGATTCAGCATTGGTGCCAGTGCAGGTTGTGAGCATGCAGTGGGTTCTCCGTATAATAAGGACAGTGCAAAAGAAAGAGCTGTTACTGGTGGCTCTGGTCAAGGTGATATAGGAGGAATGGGGTCTCTCTCTGGTGAAGGTGGTATTTGGAGTCAAGCTGGTGCTGGTTTAGGGGGTATGGGGTCTCTCTATGGTAAGGATGGTGTGCTGGGTGATGGTGGTGATGGTGCTGCCTATGTAAGTGGTGCAGGGGGATTAGGGGCCTTGCAAGGTAAGGGTGGTAAGGTAGCTGGAGCCATGGCTGGTACTGGTGGAGCCAGTCCTGTTGGTGGCAAAACAGGTGTGGGGTTGCTCCAAAGTGGCGGGGGCATAGTAGGTGGATCCAGGACTGGGGCTGGTGCAGGTGGAATGGGTTCTCTCTATGGCAAGGATGGTTTGCAGGGTGAAATTGGTTTTGATGCTGCTGGTGCTGCTCGAGGAGATTCAGGCAGCCTGGGATCTCTCTATGGTAAAGATGGAATGGAATATAGTGCTGGGGCAGGTGCTGGTGCATGGGATGCAAGGGGATTGGGCACTCTTCATGGTAAGGATGATGTGTTAGGTGTTATGGGTGCTGGCAGTGCTAGTGGAGGTGGCTCAGGGGGGATAGGGTCTCTCTACAGCAGGGACAGTAAGTTAAGTAAAGCTGGTGCCGCTGGGGTTGAGCTAAGAGATATGGGAGGTGGAGGGCATCTTTATGATGAAGATGGTTTGCCAGGGAGAACCTGGACTGGTGCTGGTGCAGCTGGTGCTGGTTTTGGTGGTGTGGGAGGCCTGGGGTCTCTTCATGGCCAGGATGCTCTGCTAGGTACAACCAGTGCTGGTGTTGATGGAGCTGGGGTAGGGGGCACGGGATCTCTCTATAATAAGGATGGTATGCCGAGTGGAGCTGGTGCTGGTGTAGGTGGTGCAGGAGGCATGGGATTTCTCCATGGTAAGGATGATGTGCTGGGTGTATCCGGTGCTGGTGGTGCAGGTGCAGGTGCAGGGGGGGTGGGGTCTCTCTATGGTAAGGATGGTGTGCTGGGTGATGGTGGTGATGGTGCTGCCTATGTAAGTGGTGCAGGGGGATTAGGGGCCTTGCAAGGTAAGGGTGGTAAGGTAGCTGGAGCCATGGCTGGTACTGGTGGAGCCAGTCCTGTTGGTGGCAAAACAGGTGTGGGGTTGCTCCAAAGTGGCGGGGGCATAGTAGGTGGATCCAGGACTGGGGCTGGTGCAGGTGGAATGGGTTCTCTCTATGGCAAGGATGGTTTGCAGGGTGAAATTGGTTTTGATGCTGCTGGTGCTGCTCGAGGAGATTCAGGCAGCCTGGGATCTCTCTATGGTAAAGATGGAATGGAATATAGTGCTGGGGCAGGTGCTGGTGCATGGGATGCAAGGGGATTGGGCACTCTTCATGGTAAGGATGATGTGTTAGGTGTTATGGGTGCTGGCAGTGCTAGTGGAGGTGGCTCAGGGGGGATAGGGTCTCTCTACAGCAGGGACAGTAAGTTAAGTAAAGCTGGTGCCGCTGGGGTTGAGCTAAGAGATATGGGAGGTGGAGGGCATCTTTATGATGAAGATGGTTTGCCAGGGAGAACCTGGACTGGTGCTGGTGCAGCTGGTGCTGGTTTTGGTGGTGTGGGAGGCCTGGGGTCTCTTCATGGCCAGGATGCTCTGCTAGGTACAACCAGTGCTGGTGTTGATGGAGCTGGGGTAGGGGGCACGGGATCTCTCTATAATAAGGATGGTATGCCGAGTGGAGCTGGTGCTGGTGTAGGTGGTGCAGGAGGCATGGGATTTCTCCATGGTAAGGAGTAGCGGGTGCTGGTGGTGGGGGTGCAGGGGGGGTGGGGTCTCTCTATGGTAAGGATGGTGTGCTGGGTGTATCCGGTGCTGGTGGTGCAGGTGCAGGGGGAGTGGGGTCTCTCTATGGTAAGGATGGTGTGCTGGGGGCCACTGCAACTGGCGTAGGTGTTGCAGGAGGCATGGGGTCCCTCTATGCCCAGGATGGCATGTCAGGCGGAACAGGAGCTCATACTGGTGGTGCTGGGAAAATAGGGTCTCATATTGGCATGGCCTCTGTGCTAAGTGGAACTGGTGAGAATGCTGGTGGTGGTGGTGTTGGTGGTCCAGAGGGGACAGGGTCTCTCTATGGCCAGGATGGCATGCTAGTTGGACCTGGTGTTGGTATGGGGGCTTCAAGGGGACTGGGCACTCTTGATGGCAGGGGTGCTGTGCCAGGTGGAGTTGGTGCTGGTGTGGGTGGAGTAAGAACTGCAGCAGGTAAGGGTCCTTTGGCTGACAAGGATGCTGTGTTAACTGCATCTGGGACTGGTGCAGGATTAGGAGGTGAGGAAGCACTGGGTTTGCTCCGTCACAAGGATGCCATATTGAAAGGGGCTGGGGGTGCAGCTGGGGTTGGTCTGAGCGATGTGCAGGGAATGGAGTCTCTCTCTGATAGGGATGCTATGCTACGTAGAGCTGGTGGTAGTGCTGGTGATGGGTTAGGAGGTGCAGGCGATCTGGGTGCTGTCCCTGGACAGGGTGCTAGAGTGGGTGCAGGTGGTGCTGATGGTAGACCAGGAGGTGCTGGAGGGTTGGGTTCTGTCTATGGCAGTGATGACATGTTAGGTGGCACCAGCGCTCTTACACAAGAGGGGTTAAGTGGAGGTTGGGGCATGGGAACTCTTGATAGCAGAAGTTCTGTGTTAGGTGGTGCTGGTGCTGGTGTTGGTGTTGGTGTTGGCGCTGGCGCTGGCTCTGGCACTGGCATGGGTGGTGCCAGTGCGTTGGATTCCTTGCATGGCAGAGGTTCTGGGCTTGGTGGAGTAGGACCTGGGAGTGAATTCAGAGGAGCTGGAGGCACGGACTCATTTGATGGCAGAGATACATTCTTAGGGGTAGCTGGTGCCAAAGGTGGAATTAGTGGTCTAGGGGGCTCAGGTTCTTCTTACGAGAGGGATTCTGCTTTTAGTGGGACACATGTTGATGCAGGGGGTAAATTATTTAATAAAGTGACTGATGAGAGGAAGTCAGGATTTCCTGATGAAGGCTGGCAGGGTTATGAGCCAATGTCAGGCCTTCATAGTGGAGCCTTTTCTGGAGACCGAAGAAGACGGATGTATGGCCTTGATGCCAGTGGACTGAGTGCAGATGAAAACTTGGGGAGTAGAGACAGGAAAGGAAGAGAAGGACGTTTTCCCCAAGATGATGTGAGAGGTATTTAATTTTTTATTGATAGATTATGGGTTGCTTTTGCTCTGTTTTATATTCCTACTATTTATGCTTCCAGTACTTTGGGGAGAATGGGTAGACTTGTGGTTCAGATCCAGGAGTGAGTGTTTGTATGCCCTATGTGCTATTCCTGGCTGCCACAGATTTCCTCTGTGATCTTAAGCAAGTCACTTGGGGACAAACATTTAAAAAGTGGGAATGATGTTGAATGTCATTTAGAAGGGGTGAGAACTTACTAATTAAAAACTCCATTTCTAGCTGAACTTGACGAGGCTAGAAGAGGAGACTTTTGAAAATTTTGGTGCTAACATTTTTGTGTTTCATTTTCTACATCTTGAAACAGGCATAATTTGATTAACTCCCAGGAAGTTGGGAAGGATGTCTATAAGGGCCCTGGCATTTAAAGGTATGATGGGTTCTGATCCCTGATCCTACAGTCATACCTTATGCCATGCCACACATGCATGGGAGGAAGCGTGATTTTGTGATAGGGGATCAGATCCAAATTGGGCCCTTTCTACTTGCCAGTACTGGGGGAATTCAAGATTGTGATCTTGTGCTTCCCTGGCACCAGCAAGTAGAAAGCTGTGTGTCTGCAGGTCTGGGGCCACACTGGGGTCTTGAGCCATCAACTGACTGTTGGCTCCAGCCCTGGGACCACACTGGGGTCTTGAGCCATCCCCAGTGCAATCTGGGGCTAAGGCTGACAATTAGATCCATGTGGTCACTTTAAGGTGCCAAACAAATCAGCCATAACAATGTTCTACATTTATAACATGTTAATTGTGGAATAAATGTAACATGTAGATGGGGCCTTAGAATGCACTGAGATCCTGCCTAGACAATAGACCTATATTAATGACAGCTGTTGTATTTATTTTGTAGCCATTTATCTGGGACCCCTTTCTAACCCCAGCTCTAACAGACTCAAATTGGCCATGTTTAGGAAATATATTAGTTCCCATGTATTTTCATGCATCGTGTCCATATTTCTTTGACAACTCTCAGTAATTTAAATTGGATCTTTTTTCCTTTATTTTTTTCTATAATTACTTAATGCAAACATCTCAATTTTCAGCAGCCCTAAGAACCATTCCATGCAATTTTTTTTTGTTACATTTTATTAAAGTATAATCTTCAGAGGTCTTATTTATATGAGTGGCCCTTATCTAACTAGTGTCACCGAAGTCAAGGCAGCTACTCATGCAAATAAAGGCTAGTTAAGTTAGTAAGTGTGAGATTTAAAATGCTAGATATCTCTGTTTGGAGATTATTCTTTTTATAGAAAGGAAGGATTAGGGTAGGTTTACACACTGACTATAGTACACTTGAAAACAAAGCAGCTGTTAATGTACTTAGTCATCCATTCTATTGACTAGATTATTCCAGATCCTCAGTTGATATCTATCAGCTTGATTCTATTTAAGTCAATAATGATTTAGACTGGCTGAGGATCTCACTCAGTATTTTGGGATTATTACACAGTCAACATTATGATACATTTTTGTTTAGACAGGTGCCTCTTCGCTGCACCTGCCTGTATATTTTGTGTTGAGATGTTTCTCCACCAGTTTGTTCTCTTGTGCAACAAAAGGTCTGCACATTTCTAGTGTGGGGTTTTTTTTTAACTTTCTTTCCTGTATGTTTAGAACCACGTTGCCATTTCAACAAACAATTATCAGATGTGCACGCCTTGAAAAGGAAGCCAGCTGAGCTGTGTTGCAGTCTCAATAATGAGCAGATGGAAGGGTCTTGGTTTAAAGATGGATTCAAGGTATGTGTTCAGTAGCTCATCATTTCCTCAAGGATCGAGGATTTGTTTAATTTGACAGCTACAATTGTCATGAAATATTATAGCACAATCTTTTCTCATTCTACCCTGCCTCTCTGCAGTGGGGTCTCCTGAAATGATCCTTCATTTTCCACAATAAGAAGAGGCACTAAACTAGCCTGCCTGGCCATTGAGCACAGCCTCTGCAATTGTACAAGAAGCTCTTTGCATCAAGCTTCCTAGTAGGAATTGGATAGGATTCCTCTGTGCTCTCAAAGCAGGACCATTTTCACTCTCACTGGCACCAAGAGGTTGCTATGAGTTTTCCTTTTCTTTTTCCTTACCTTGAGGGTTGAAAATCCTTTGAATCAATGCTCAGCACATGCTAAGACCACGCAAGTCTGAAGCAATGTCTGAATATAATGCAGGAGAATAATTCAGATTGCAAGGAGATGGAGGCTAAGACTGCAGGAGTTCAGAAGAAAAGTGATCCATTTACCGACAAGGTTTTTAGCTGTAGCTTTGGCCAGGAAAAAGAGGTCTCAGAGATATTATTACTGGTTTAGAGCCTGATCCAAATTCCATCAAGGTCAACAGAAAAACTCTCCTTGACTTGAATGGACTTTGCGTCAGTCTATTAGTGGTCATATACCAGTTCTTCAGAGCATATATGTAGTACCACCAGTTAATAATCAATAAATAATAAGCAATACTGACCAAGATATAGGCTGTTTCTGGAGTGTAATGACCAGTTGAAGTGGAATTGAGAGTACAAGGCACAGATGAGAAACTCTAGACAGTCACTGATCTCTTTGAAATGCCCGGTTTTTTGCTGCTAGTTGCCATTATAAGTAAAACAGGCACAAACGTAGGGCCAGATCGTATTCCACCTACTGTACATCTGAATGGACTTATGCATCTAAGTGTGTTTTTTTTTCCCACATTGCTCAAGTCCCTGAACATCCGTAATTGCACTTTTGCAACACACTACCATCTGACCCTTAAGACTGAGGCACAGAACTGCAGTGTGGAAGAGTAGGAACCCATCTACTTTTTATTTTAACAGTTTTTCAGGGTTTTGAGCAAGGTGGAATAGGATCACATGTAGGAAGCTAATAGGTAGAATAGAGTCTAGTCTGTGATGATCAGTTCAATTTGGCACATAAACTATTTTACTACATACTAAATCCAGTCAACAAAGCAAACATCTTGCACGCTTTGTTAATCTTTTTGGCCAGTGCTTGATCTTTCAACAGTTTGAAATGTTGAGATTCAAGTGCGTATTGGTGCTAGATTTGATGTGCTACTTAGCTAACTGGAGAAATGATTGCTGGCAGACTAGGGCTACCATAATGTTTGCTCTGATGGTGAAGAAAGAGTTAGAAGGGTTTTTTTGAGCACCAGATGAGAACTGGCCCAAAATTTCCCACTTGCATTTTTTTGATGAGTAATGACACTTCAAATGAATAGAGAGGTAGTTAGTTGTGTTAGTCTGAAGTCAGCCAGAAGGCAGGGTAGACATGCACCTTTCTAGACAAACTAAATAAGATTGTATATAAGAACACCGTCTTTTGTGAACCAAAGTTCACTTCATCAGATGCCGTGAAAGTGAAAGGACGTGCAGAAAGCAGAGTGTAAGGAGAGAGCAATCAGAATGCAAAAGACAAAAGAGGGGGCACTGCTAGGAGAGAGAAACAAACAAGCAGTAAACCCATAGGAACAAGGGGGGTTACAAATGCTAATCCAGGTAATGAGATAAGAATCCATGGTCATGGTTTAAATTATACCAAACAGTCTAGTTTGTGAATTATTTTTTGTTCTGCAGTTTCTTGTTCAAACCAGGTTTTAATTTTTGTTTTCCTGGAAACCAGCAATGCTGAGCCCAGGAAGGTTGAAGTGTCCTGCCACAGACTTTAATGTCTTTCTGTGGCTGATGTCAGATTGGTATTTGTTCATTCTTACGTGTACAAATCGCCCTGTTCGTCTGATGTAGACAGCAGAGGGACATTGTAAGGAGATGGAGTTGCTGGTGAATGAACCTTGGATATGGTACTGCTTGTTATTAGGTCCAGTGATGATGTGGTCTGGATTGATTTGGGGGCACGTTTCGACAGAATAGACATTTTTTACAACAAAATTCCATTTTTATCAAAAAATTGGATTTTCAGGTTTTTGATTAAACACTTTGCATTTGTGGATCTTTTTCATGGGGAAAAAAATCATTTCCTAACTAGTTCTTGTGTTTAGTCTTCATGGATTTATCAGTGCTGTGTAGCTATAACAGTAAAGAAGGTCCCATCTGGCATTTTTCCTGTCAAAGTGTTTGATAGTTCCTTCAAGGAAATAACATATTTTTGTCCTTTACATTGTAGCTAACAGGCATGGATGGAGTCTCTTTCGAAAAGGAAGGCCCAAACCACAGACTAATCATAGACGAAGTGGATGATATTCATGCTGGAACATATAGGTTTGAAGCTGAAGGCATCAAAACCGAAGCTAAAATTTTTGTTGAAGGCAAGTTTGTCAAACTGCTTTATTGCCCAGAAAAAATACAGTACAGCCTCATCGTATTGAAACCCAATGGGACCGGGACAAATGTTCATTAAAAGAGGGTTTTTGACATAATAAGCTTAGACAATTTTTTGCATCATCATAATGGGATTTTTAAAAGTGGAGGTTTGTTAGATACAGGAGTTGTTATGAGGCTGTACTGTAATGTTAAACGTGGATTATGTTTACTCCATTCTTAACGAAGTGCAATGCCAGTATGTGCTTAAAATAAGAACATAGGACTGGAAGGCACCACATGGGATACTGAGTTTGCTTCTGTACTTGCAAGTAATGGTGTCTTGAATGAAAACTAAAATATGCATTTAAGCTGGGGGTTGAAGGGAAGGCAGGAAGATGGTTCTTCTTGACCCTTACAGGTGATGAGCAGAAACCCTGAAGCATGAAAAGCAATACATTGGATGGTCTTGTGGTTAAAGAACTGACTCATCACATGGGTTTGTTTCTTAATTTGTGGAGGGGATAGTGCATTTCCTAAATTTCAGTCTAAATGTTAACTGTGCAGCCCCTCCTGTTGCGTGAGAAAAAGCAGTGGATGATGGTAGGTATATGTTGCAAAGTGCACAATTTTATAACCAAGGGAGCTTGGCAGAACTGGAAAAAAAACTTTGCACTTAAGTCAATGTGTCTGTAATATATACCTCTCTGAATGAGCTGTGTTGTTAGCTCAAAGATTTTGATCAGCTGGAAATGCTTAAATTTAATCTAAAACTAGTGTTAGTTTTTTCTCATGGGTGTTTAATTCTACTGCATATGAAGTTATGCAGTCAGCATAAGCATCATTTAAGCACTATTTTGAGGACTGTACTGTTCTCTGGAAATTACCCCTGGCACACACGTGCATGTATACCATCTGGTAAATATGCAACTGAACACAAAGGTTCAAATCCTGAGAGTTTCTGAGCACCACCTGTACCATCATGATCTCCTGTGAATTGTATTGCTCTCAGACCCCCAAATGCCCTGTCAGATAATATTTAAATTAATCAGCAGCAATTAGTACAGAGCATTCCAACTCTATTGGTTAGATTTCCTCTTTGAACTGCATTTATTAATGATTTTTTTTCTCTGTTTAGATCCCCCAAATGTTGACAAGGATCTTCAGGAAAAACTGATGAAGGATCCTCTAGTGATCAAGGCAGGGCAGAACGCTGTGGTCAAGATCCCTTTTGAAGGCCGGAAACCAGTCAAAGCAACATGGTTAAAGGATGGGTGTGAGCTCCTGGATGATACCAGGATCCATACTGACAAAGCGGATAACTTCACTCGGCTTTCTATTTCTAGCACTAACAGGAAGGACTGTGGGGATTACAAAGTGAAGCTCAGCAATGGGAGTGGAGCCTTGGAGGTCAACCTAAAGCTGGTAGTAACAGGTGAGAGGCTCATGATATTCATCTACCACTTTTGTTACAAGGTTTAGAGAGAAGACCTTGTAAATCACTGTTGGGATCTCTTGAAAGAATCACCAGAAAGAGCCTAATTGGTAGCAATTGCATACTCAGAAGGAGAGGAATAGGGCCCCTCTTCCACTGATGCTTGTACAGAAAGATGCTTTCAAGAGTATCTGAAAGCTGGCTGGGTTTGTTCTTCTCTTAATAAAGAGAAAGACAGTGAGGTGCAACATTCCCAGTTCTGAGTAGGGCTGAAGGCCTTCAGCTCTCACTAACTTTAACAGGACTTGATATCACTTGGCAGCTCCAGGGCTTGCTTGGTGCCTTGCTGGCTCAAACGATCATTGGATTGATATGGCTGCAGATTTACCAGCTCTGACTTTGCTCCTTCATTAGTTTACCTTTAGCATAATTCCTTAGCCAATTTGCATTTTCAGTTTGATTTCTCCTTTCAGACAGGCCACAATCACCGATGGGCCCTATAGAAGTGGTAGATAGTTCCATAACTGGCATCACCATCCAGTGGAAGCCCCCAAAAGATGATGGGGGCAAACCAGTGCTCAGCTATGCCATTGAGAGGCAGCAAGTGGGCAGACAAACCTGGCTGGCAGTGGGAGAAGCAGATGGGAGCAGCACAACTTTTACTACCAACAAAGTGGAACATGACAAAAGCTACTGCTTTCGGGTGCGAGCGATAAATGCTGAGGGGACCAGCGAGCCATTAGAGTCAGGCGAGGTGATGGCTGCAACCAAAGGTAAGAGAAAGCACTCTATGTAAATGCATACTATAGCCAAGGGAGACTTTTGCTATGAAAGCCAAAAAGAAAAAGGTGAAACTCATCATATTCTGGGTGTTGCTACCAATCTTAGCTCAGGTTGAAAAGAAAGGTTTGCAAGATTGGCTGCATTACTGAGATTATGATTTCATATGAAAACTGCAGGTTTCTTGTAAATCCGGATGATTCTGAATAAGATCTGTTTTGAGCTTTGGGAAGCATTCCAACCTGAATCTCAAAGCAGGGTCCACTGTGGGATTCACATGTGGACCAAAGCCAAAAACATTCCTGCAGCTTACTGCAAAGAGAACCCAGTAGGTCTTTATCTTATTTATGCTTTTGGCCAGTCTTTCCCAAACCTTGTGAGTTTATGCCTCTCCATGTGCAAGTCAGGCCTCTCGTGCCCCCCTCCCAACCGCCTTACTTTAGCCACTGATTTCCTCGCCACAGTTCTCTCACACCTCCTTACTCCATCCACAACTTTCCTTGCCACTGATTCCCCTTGCTGTGGCAATCAATAGCAATCCCTGGTGAAGGGAATCAGCAGCTGGAAAAGCATCAGCAGCAGTAGTAGTGGTGGCAGCAGCAGCTGAAGAACAGGGGGTGCAATAGCTGCTGAAGTAGGGGGGATGCCACCAGTTGCTACCATAAGTCACACCCTCCCCCCACCCTCCGGGGAGTATGTCGCACAGTTTGAGAAATGCTGTCTTAGGCAAATGAGTCTCCCAAGGGGACATTCAATGGCTTCATCTTTATTCAAAACAATTATAAGATCACAGCTCAGTCAGTTCTGCTGTAGGAGCTCCCTCTAAACCAAATATTTAAGGTATCTTGTGGATAAAACATGAAGATAGAATGAGATCTTCTCTCTGATTCTTTTTCCCCTTTTTTCTTCACATCCGTCCCTGCAATCTTCTTTCCCTCCTGCAATCTTCTTTCCCTCTTTCAAATCTCATTTTGTGCTAAGATATATTTTAAAACAATTTTTGCATTAATTGCTGATAGTTTTACTCTCCCTCCAGCACTGTTTCTTATATTCAGGGAAAGAAGTGGGATTCTATCAGTTTTCCTCGATTTCCCTCAGGAAAAATTTGTCTTTCCTTCTCTGTAAGAGCATCTCCCAGCATTAGCAGTAGGGGGTTGCTCATGAAGCAGCCAACTTCAGGACCCTGGATGAGTTTCTTCTTCTGTGCTCCCAGCTCCTGGCTGTTCTGGGGAATAAGAGACTGAGTCTTAGATATTACTCATGCCTTCCAAAATTACCCCATCAGATATATTTAGCAAATCATGAACAAAGCAAACTCTCAGAACTTTATTGTCTTGTGAATGAGCAGAAATGTCTGTTAATAATTAAGCACTGATCTTTCTTTAGTTTTCCCTGGCCCCCCTGCTCCTCCTAAGATTGTAGAGGCCAGCAAAGAGGCCATCAAACTGTCTTGGGCAGTGCCTGACAAAACAGGGAATTCCCGAATCCTGGGATACATCGTTGAGAAACGTAAGAAAGGCAGTAGCACCTGGGCACCTGTCACTGATCAGCCAATCACAGGTAAGCACCTCAGAGCTTGAAACCAGCTCCAGAAAGGCAAAAAGACTAGATGGGTCAATGGATAATGCCATTCTGACCTATTATTTGCTGTGGACTGGTGGCCAACAAATGTTACTATCAAGACATGTTCAGTGACCTCTGTGTAGGGGCATGAATCAGTGAACTCTCTCTGGTTGCTAGAGGCCAGATCCTATTCCAACTATTAAACACTTAAGTGGACTTTGGTGCCTAAGCGTGATCCCTTTCTACCCTGCATGAATCCCTGAACAACCTTTAATGCAAAAGATGGATGGTTCCTCTTCCTGCTCACTGCTTTCTGTGACTGAGTCTGAAATGTGGGATGGTGGTGTATTACAAAAGTAAGCACTTGTTAACACTTTTTAAGGGACTTGAGTAGGGTGGAACAGGATAATTAGACTCCTAATAGTGGGAATAGGATGTGGTCTTAGGGTGATTCTTTCCTGGTCATGTAAGTGTCCAAATTTGCTCACCTATGTGCCCCACTTACACAGACATTGAAATTCTGTTCCTGGACATGTAACCCTGTGCACAGGGATGACTGGATACAAATGGGACATGAACTGGAAACAGTGCAAGAGCCCTCCCATCTTTCCCCACAAAAAACTCAGTAGCTAGGGCACTAACCTGGGTCCTAGTGACCTGGAAAGGGCTTGAACCTTGCTCTCTCTCACTCCTTTGCACAGCGCTCTAAGGAATACACTAAAGGTTAGTCATTTTCTAGTTTCTTCTCTGGTGCCTTTTTTGAAGTTGGCTCCCTGGGACCCCCTGAGAGGGGGGGAATGTGGGGCCAGAAAGAAAGGAGTAAGCCAGAAGCTGTGTGGCTCAGCGAGGTGACTATTGGCTTGGCAGGGAGGGGGACTTTAGTTCTAGCCTGGCATTTTCTCCCTGGTGGAACAATCTTCCACCCACACTACCCTCCATTGACTTTTTTACTCAATGACAATGTTAATAGCTGAACTTCAAAAGAATTTGCTCTTACCCAGGACTGCAGTGGCCACACCCTTCTCGCCACAATCCTGGATCTGCCCATGGGCATCCATACAGGCCCCAGTTAGTACTGCGCGTGCCCAGTTCATGCGACTATGTTCAGGCATAGCTATCCACATGCACAGATCTGTGTCCAAGATCAGAATTCCAACCTGAGCAAAAGAGGCATTTTTGGTACTAAGACAACCAAAAATGCCGTATAGACCAAAACTGGACACCAGGAAGGAAGTAGTAGTACCAAACGTGCCCTCATACCTGGTTTTGTTGGGCCATTTGGGTTTCTCTTCAGAGTCAAGAGAATGAACAAGTCATGGAGCTGGAATTCTCTTCTAGCTCCAGGAAGAGGTGTGGGAGGGTGTTGGGGATCCTTCCAAGTTTGTGAATAAATATATTGTTGGTGAAAAAAGGGGGATCTTTCATGGCTGTTGTCTAGCCTGCAGCTTTTCTATGGGTAAGTTGAGGACTTCAGCCTCCTGGAGAAGCAATCAGGCACCTTTCACTTCTGATGTGGAAGTTCTGGCGTTGCTAATCATGCTGGGAATGGGGAAGGTGGGAATTTAGGGTGCAGACAGAAATGTAGCTTCCCACTGTACCTGAGAGCACTTTTCAGAAAGCGTTTTAAATTACAATGATCTCCTCCCCACCAGCCAAACAGAAGTTCGTTGTTGGTTGGTTCCAGGGGAGAGGGAAACCTAGCTGCTAGCTACCAGCAATGGCTGCTCCTTTCTCCCAGCCTATCCCTGTTTTCAGAATGGGAGGGGGGAAAGGGAGCAGAGGGACCTCATTCTAGGGGTTCCCCAGTCAGCTCTGGAGGGTGGGGTGGGTGAAATGGAGCACTCTTACCGCAGGCAGGGGCTCCAATACCACCCCGCCCTCCAGCATGGGCTGAAAACCCCCCAGACTGAACTCCCTCTGCTCCCTTTCCTCCCTCCCATTCTGAAAACATCTTGGAAGCTAGCAGGCAGGCAGACAAGTTACAGAAGATGCCATGTTTTGAAACGTCTTCATCTGACCCTGGCTCCAGGTTTTCATCTGATTGGCCATTTTTTAAGTGGCTTGCAGCCATGCACTCATGTTTGGTCATGACTATAGATTGCTTTCTGTGGTCAGATTGGGCAAAAGTTGTCACTTCTGTCTGTGCCTTTATTGAAGCCAGGAAGGCAGGTAGGCAGAACTGATGTCTCTAAGGGCTCCAAGATGTGTTTGCCCATTGTCAGTTATCTCTCAGATGCAGGCAAGGTCTTCTTATCTCCTGTATAAGAATTTAGGGTTATCACTAGAGAGTTTTTACTCTTTCCTGGACTTCCTCATTAGCGCTCAAATGGCTTTTGAGCTGAAAAGAAGGTGAACATATAATAAGAAAGACCTGAAAATATGTGTGCACTGGTGGAAGAAGGGGTTTAGGTTGTAGCTGTGTTGGTCTAAGGACATAGGCAGACAAGGTTCCTTGGATGAATCTGATATCTTTTATTAGACCAACCCAAATAGTTGGAGAATATTTATTAAGCAAGCGTTCGGGTTGAAAAACCCTTCGTCAGGCTAAGGAAGTTTCAGCAGTTGGTGTGTGCTCTTCCTGGTGGAAGAAGGATGGGATGAAAAGAGAGAGCACTTAGAAGAAGACATATGTTCCTTTAGGCAGAAGGATAGCCCAGGATGTAGAGTGAACAAGTGAACCTTGTACAGGAACATTGTCCAAGTGCATCCTTCTGTGGGTCCTGCAGACCTGAGCCAGAATTTTAAGGATCTGATCTTTTCCTTCCACAGAGAGGAAGTGGAAAGTTACTGACCTGAAGGAAGGACTGCAGTATGAATTCCGCGTGGCTGCCGTCAATGCTGCTGGTACAGGCGAGGCCAGTGCACCATCAGAATCTGTCTTTGCTCAAGATCCCATGGGTAAGTTGCCCATTTGTCCATTCAGCAGTGGGAGGCAGACAGTGGGGTAGCAGGCTGAGATGTTAAGTCTGGGGAATTGTATCAATCTGTGTGGCAGTGTTTATCAGGTGTTTTACAGTGTATGCTTGGTGAACTTAAATACTTGAAGAATATTCAAAGATCAAGAATTCACTGTTTGTCTTAGAGAGGGATGGGGAAGGACTTTCTTGGTGTTGGGTAGGCAGATATGGGGCAAAATCCCCAGCGTGCTGCAGGAAAAGGAGGGTCAGATTCCCCTATTCTACGTGGAACTGGGAGTGGGATTCCTGTGTGCTGCAAAGGGGAAGAAGACAATATTTCTAGGATGTTGTATGCTAGGCAGGAGCAGGTTTCCCAGTAAATTGCAGAGGAATGAGGATGGAATTTCAGTATGCTGCATGGAGCATGGTAGGATAGCTAGCTAGTGTGCTGCAAGAATGCTGAAATGGATGATTCTGTGTACTGAATGAAGACTGGAGGCAGGTATCCTAGGCCATCATGGTCTAAATAAACTTTCCCTTTCTAGATCCTCCAGGTCACGTGAGGGACCTTAAGGTGACCAATACTGATTACACCAGCATTGCATTGGCATGGACAAAACCCAAACCAGAGGATGGGGGTGAAGCTAAGGGGTATATGGTAGAGATGCGATCTTCTAACAACCTCAAGTGGACCCAGTGTAACACTCAGCCCCTAAGGATGACAATGTATACAGTGAAAGGCCTGGAACCCAAAGAAATGTACTTCTTACGGGTGAGGGCTGTCAATGATGGGGGCGCTGGTGAAGCTGTAGCATTGGACACTGATATTCAAGCCATGCCCCCTATTGGTAAGATAAACCACGCTTCCACTGCAGTGTATGTGATAAACCCACAGGTGCAGATCACACAGTTAAAATCATGGGTTCTCTATCCACAGGTGGGTTGACTATTGGAGACTTGTATTGACAGAAGCCATTCAGGATGGCGATATATTCTTTCCTGGTTATCTAGGTGGCCTTTTTTTTCACTTACTCAACTGGATGCATTGTCTTTAGGTGCTCAGCACTGTGTGCATAGACACCTAAGTAGCCATGTAGACTAGCAACAAAATATGAGTGAGACAGTCTTTTCGTTTCCTCCACTCACCTGGGAAGCTGGAGATCCTAGGTTCTAGTCCTACTTCATCCAGAGGTGATTTAGACCTAAATCTCTCTGACTTCCCAGCACAGTCTTCTAATTGCTACAGCATAGGTCAGTCATTAACTGCCCTTCTCCTGATCCTCCTTTTGAAGATAGCACCATAAGTGGGTGCAAGAGGGAAGATATGTGGGGCCAGGAGGAAGAAGACAAACCAGAGGGCATGTGGCTGAATGAGGTGGCTGCTGGCTTTGCAGGAAAAAGCCCCCAGGGTTTAGCTTGGAGTCTTGTCTCTGGTGGGACAGAAGCTTCCCTCTGTACTTCACATACTCAATCTGCACAACTATATGGTTGTGCATAGTTGTCTGGGTATGCAGTACTATGTGACAAGGAATAGAACTCTTCTGGACACAAATGCCAATAACGGCCTGTAGACAACCAAAAAATGTCACTTAGGTGACCGGGAAAGAATGGAATGTCACTCTCAGTCTGTGTCACTGAGACACAGAAGCCTGGTTTAGATGCTATCCTAGACTGTAAGGAGTTGACACAGATCATTTTGCTCCTATCCAGCACGCTGGCAATTCATTTATAGGCTTACTTAAGTAGGAATTTTACAGTGGGCTTATTTTAGAGGCCTGTTATGATTCAAGGCCACTGAATATGGTTGGCATTGGATTTATGATCCAGATACCTTATTCCAGGTGGACCCAAACCCTCAGACTGACCACAACCTTTCCCTTTGATAATAGGCAAATTGTATTGATGCACAGTGATAGCAGAGAAGAATAATGCTGGCAAGGCAAACAAATTCTATATTTACCAGTCCTAGGGTTGTCACAGAGGGAAGGTAAATACATCTGGCCAATATACGAGCTTTACCCTGAGGTTCTTTCTTGAATGTCAGATGTCAGCAGCCTGGTGGTCAAGGGCTGAGGTCCACCCCACTGGGTGGGTGGGACAGGCTGATGGTGTGCCCCCTGTCTGTGGTGGTCTCGGGTTCCCCCTTCAGGGTCCCTTTGCTGCTCTGAAATCCCTCCTTTTGCATTCTTTTCTCCCTTCTGATGACTCTTCATCTCCAGGTACAGTTGATTAGTTTCCCTGTGGTTGTCATGCTGTCCATGGTCTGTCCTATCAACATACTTCTTTGTTTTACAAGCCTATTACATACACACATTTTAATTTGGTTGTTTACCAGTCTCCTAATTTGGTCTGTCCACCAAAACCAGAAATCCCAAGGGATCTGCAGTTGGGCACTGTGACCTAATGCCACCTTATTTCATGTTATGGAACAGTGTGGTACATGTCTTCAATTTCCCAACCTGTGTGTCTGCTGGCTTTAGACACAGTGGGCCTTGAAGGAAACTTTGGTTCAAACAGGTTTTTAGAAATCAATTAACCTTTGCCATTCCCCTGGACCATTGTTTTAATACAATATTTACTTTATCTAGAAGCCAGTTTCCAAAAGCAAACCTTTAAATATCATTTTTAGCCATCAAATGTTATCCTCTTTTAGATATCTATATATATACTGCACCCTTAACTGCCCTTTTATGATACTCTGTTGAAATGTGGGTTTGTGAATACATTTTTACAATAGTTTCTGTCATTTGGTGATCAGTGATAAATAAATACAGAAATATGATTGCTAAGACATTGCAAAAGCTCCATTAACACAATATAGCTGCATATTTGTCAGCCCGGCAGCTGGCCAAAAGTAAGAAGCAACTTTAGAATACTGGACATGATATTTTTTGTGTGTTCAAATCAGTCCATTGCCTTGTATTGCTTTTAATTGTGTTCAATCATTTTTATCTTCCAGTTACTCCCAAATTCCTAATAGATGACACTGTGAAAAGCTTTATGATTGTAAAAGCTGGAAATTTCATCCGAGTGCACATTCCCTTTGAAGTAGGTCTTCAAGTACATTTTTAAGAGGTCTTCCCTCTATTTTTGTGGTGTAACATATACCTATATAGATACGATTCTATTTATTCCCAGTTCTGCTGTGAATTTTTTCATGCCTTGAGCCAAGTAATCTAAAACTATTTTGTAAAACCTGTTTTGTGGTCTATCTACATCTGTAAAACGAGGAGGGAAACATTGGTGTCTGGTCACACGGAGGCTATGACGTTAAATTCACTTTTATAAAGTACACCTCTCTGAGGTCCTTGTATACCATCTTGCACTACGGTCTCAGATTTTCCTGTATGAACCAGACCTTTTTTTCATTCTTCCCCCCACCCCCACTCCCCCACTTGCTTCCCTTGAGAGGACTGAAGGTAGGGATTTGAAAATATCCTGCTGAGTGGGTTCACCCAGCTTACATAAGAAGAGTCATGGCATTTAGCTGCATTTCACGTGAGGGCTACAGATTTGATTTGGGGCAAGATACAAAATGGTCCCTTAAGTACCTCGAACTTAGACTTCAGAACACTTCAAAATTCAGTGTCTGATCCCAGGAGGGTGATTCAGTAATAAAATAAATTAAAATAAAATAAAATAAAGGGTTAGGCAGCTAGTCCACCCCTCTCCCCTCCCCTGCCCCGCAGCTGCAGAGTCAACTGCAGAGAGGTTACTGTCACTAAAGGCTGATTTACAGAAATCTATTTACAGATCAGGGAGATGCCTAGAGGTAGCCAATAGGAAATGCTGAAATTCTGCTCCTCTCTGCAGTCCGACTCCTGGCTGCCTTTTAGGTATCTCCATCTACTCAGAATCCAGAGCGCCTTGTCCTCATCCAAGGGTAGGTGCCTGATTGACTAAGATCCTGGTGATGATGGTGCTGCCACTCACCTTTCACGTGACAGCATAATGCAGTGGTTCTCAACCTTTTTAGACTAAAATTACCCTTCATTAGACTCGAGGCACCTCTTGGAACATGCCAACTCTTAGCTTTCACTAGTTTCTTGACTACAGAAAATAACAGAAAAATTCTTCTGTTGCAAAGAATTCAGAAAGACCAAAACAAGTGACAATGGTTTTAGGGTTGCTGGTTGTATCCATGTTGGTCTAAGGACATAGGCAGACAAGGTTCTTTGGGTAAATGTGGTATTTTTTATTAGATCAACTAAATAGTTGGAAAAAATTGTTCTTTGCAAACTTTTGGGTGCAAACACCTTTCTTCAGGCACAGGGGGAGTTTGTTGTTGCTTTCTGTGTTGGGTGGAATAGAAGCCAGTATGGATTCCTATTTGAAATCTCTGGATTTCTCTTGTGAATCATGTGTAGGAGTTTACACAGCTAATACGGTGGCATCTTTAAAGGGCACCCTGGCATAGCATTTAGAGCACTTGCTTAGGAGAGTGAATTACTAGGCCCTCTCTAGTATAAGGCGATTCAAACCCATAACTCTGATCCCCAGGAGATGGCCCTAATGAGAAAGCTATATAATAGTAGAGGGGCATGTTACACTATTC